CTCCCACTATTAGTGATCAATGTAGTGGGAAAAAAGTATTCAACTATTTACCCTAGTTAAATAAACGGAGATCTATGGGGTGATTTTTCTGACAAAACGTTGTGTACAAATATGCATGTTGCGCGCACACAAATCACTCACTTATCACTCACAAATAAAAGTTGTTACAAACTCTCCTCTAATGTCACACAAATCAAACTTTTTTCAAAATGTCCGTAAATGTTGCACACAAACAAAAATTAGTTTTACAAACCAGACTTGTTTTACAAACATTGCACTGAAAATACAATTTGTAAGTTGTATTTTCAGTGCAAGTTGGTAAGTTTCTGCCAAAATTCATGAGATACATGGAGAATTGTCATTCTGACTAACTAACAGCAGGAGGCGCCATACAATCAAAACAACTGAAACGTGCCGGTGTTACGTCGAGCTGCGTTTTCCCGTCTGATACGTGGTTTCCGCTGCATCTCCGCGCCGCGCAGGCGGCACGATTCACCGCGCAAGCCTGTATGAAAGGGAAGAAAGTTAGAAAGGGAGAAATCGGGACGGATCGATCCATCGATCCCAAACATACAGGATTTCAGAATCAAACATCCCCAGTTATTAATTTCAGGGTGAACGGTATCTGATGGGGTCCCCCCCGGTCTAACATATAATTACAAATTATATTTTCAGTGCAATGTTAGTCTGGTTTATAAAACAAATTTTTGTGTGTGTGCAACATTTAAGGACAGTTTGAAAAAAGTTTTATTTGTGTGACATTAGAGGAGAGTTTCCCCTGACTTACAATAATGGAAAGTAGTCAGAGTCAAAACTAATTACAGACACTTTGGTTAAACGATAAAATGTTATGATTAAACCTGGAGAAAGAATCTGCTTTGCTATGGGAGGAAGCTCTGTCTGCTCTACAAACACTCATGCAGGAGAATGGTGTGGCCGTGAAACAGATTTAATGAAAACTTTTATGAGTAAATAGGATAAATTAATAAATGAAATAAGAGAAATCTAAATTTTCCGACCACAATCGATAAGCCCAGTTTTAAAAACTTTCTATCTGTGGTGAGGAGAGATCCATCTGGGTATGTAAAAAAGCCAGGATGGCTTCCAATAGGTGGATTTAAAGAGGTTAATTAAACATGAGATTAGAAATTATTGTGCGACAGACGCACTCAAGACTTGAAGCTTGCTAAATGTTGGCTCTGCAGCCCCTCAGCTCGTCCGTTCACGCTGGTTTCCTCCCTCCAGGGTCCAACTANTAAATGTTGGCTCTGCAGCCCCTCAGCTCGTCCGTTCACGCTGGTTTCCTCCCTCCAGGGTCCAACTACTACGTGCGAATCCTGAGCACCATCGACAGAGAACTGCTGAAGCCCAACGCCTCGGTGGCTCTGCACAAACACAGCAATGCTCTGGTGGACGTCCTTCCTCCGGAGGCCGACAGCAGCATCATGATGCTGACTTCAGGTACGCCGCCGTCCTCCCGGGAGGGCCCGCCCCGGTGCGCTGCGGCTCTATAAGCTCTCTGTGTTCGTTCCTGCAGACCAAAAGCCAGACGTGATGTACGCCGACATCGGAGGCATGGACATCCAGAAGCAGGAGGTCAGGGAGGCTGTGGAGCTGCCGCTCACACACTTTGAGCTCTATAAACAGGTCAGGAGACTGGATCACATGGTTCTTTAAAACTGATGACTAACCTCTAAAGGAAAAGTCTGGTGAGCAAGGAACAATTAAACCTAAAACTAAAACGTTTGCAGTGATTTAATCAATTTAGCGTTAATCAGTAAAACATTTAAAATAATAACTTTCATCACAATCACTGAGTCTGGGAGCGGCCATTTTCCCCCAAATATAGTAGCCCCTCCCTCCTGCCATCTTCCAGCAGTGACGTCACGGTGCGGTAAGCCTAGCGCCATTCTCCCCGCTTTCCAAGCTAAATCAATGGGAACTACTAGACACATCTGCAATCAACAACAATTATT